CAATGTACCAGATCAAGAACTCAGAGTATGTATTTTAGAAGCATAGGAACCTTCTATAAGATTTCTTCCAGCTGTGCCCTTAGACATCCAGAAAATATTTGAGGCCTGGGTCTCCTATGAACACACATCTTCTATAACAGGAAATGTAATTTATGAAAAGGAAATATTAATTGGCATCTAGGCTGTATCTTAGGCTCTAGATTTAGGCACCATGGCAATATATTTTATCCTCTAGCTATAGTGTGGGATCCTAGAGCATCAAAATTTGCAATCTTATTATTGTACACTCAAATAATATATTCCCAAATATGCAGGCGGTTTTCCCCCCAAATCATCCTGAGGGATCACTATAGATCTTTTATTCTAGTCCTTATAAATTCTTTCATATTCTAGGGGTACTCCTTCAGTTACTTTATTTTTGGCAAAACCATATTAACCTGACCAATTTCAGTACATGGTAGTTTAGCTGCTGAGAGAGGTTACCTCATGAAATTTATTTTTACAAAAAGGAGAAAAAGAAGGGAAGAATATATATTAGTCAGTATAAGGTAGGCTATACTACAGTAACAAATTAACCCAGAGATCTCAGAGGCTTGCAGTGTAAAAATTCACTTGTCACACATACAAAAGTCACTCTGAGGCCAGGCTGTCCTCAAGGGATGACTTAACCTTTAATCTTGAGCTCCACCCTCCAACAGAAGGCTCTCTTGGTTGCCAACACAGGGGAGAGAGAGAGAGTTGGAATGTCATGCAGGGGTTTCTCACTGCCTCAGATAAAAGTAACATGTATACTTCCACTCACGTTTAATTGGTCAGGCCTGCCTGACTACAAAGCAGTCAGTGAGTATGGCCTTGTGTGTGCTCGGGAGAGAAAAATATGAAGAAAAGACCTAATGAAGGCAATGCATTTTCTCGTTCACAGGAGGCAAATGCTGACTACATATTTAGTTTTAGATAACCTCACAGTTGTAAGAGTTTTAAGGCGTTATAAACAAGCTTTCTTAAAAATCACCTTCAAAAACAATACTGGAGACTGGAACAACTGGATATTCATTGGAGGAAAAAAATAATCTCAATCCATTCCTTAAGGCATACACAAAAATTAATTTGATATGGGCCATAGATCTAAACTAAAAACGAAAACTAGAAATGTTCTAGCAGAAAACATAGGAGAAAATCCTTAAACTTAGGGTAGACAAAAATTTCTTGAATAAAAAAAGCACAGATCATAAAAGAAAATAATTATAAATTGTATTTTTTCAAAGTGTGGAACTTGCTCTATGAATGAAAATAAAAAGGTAGAGAGTCAAAGAAAATATTTAATGTATCTATATTGAGTATATGTATACAAATATATGTATTACAGTTCGTTAACTATAATGTGCCCCTCAGAACTGGCTATATAACTCACAGAGCCCAGTGCAAAATGAGAAAGCAGAGCCCTTGTTCAAAAATTGTTAAGAATTTCAATACAGCAACAGTAGGGCAATAAACCAAGTGCAGGGTGTGGCTGCCCAGTTCATACACCCATGATGCCACCATGGCCCCACTCACTGGGATTCTGTCTCCCCATCCTGTTCACCTTTGCATCCCAAGCACACAGAATATCTGACACATGGTAGACACTGGATGAATATATTTGTGGAATGTTATCCAACATGTTCTATAAAAAAAAAACTTTGATAATTTTATTTTTGAAAATTCGATTTATTTTCAAAAATACATTTATTGCATAAAATACTCGTATGCACGTATTTAAATGCAGGAGCAGGTGATATTGTCCACCTAGTGTATTACATGTGAGTGTTCACTTTTCTTCATCCTTTTTCCTTTCTGCTCCTCAGCTCGATCATTTCAGTTGTCCTATCATCAAGTTGGCTGTTGCTTTCTTCTGCCTGCTCAGATTAGCTGTTGAACCCCTCCGTTGGCTATTCCTGTTGTGGGCGAGGCAGGCTCTTCATCCCCTGGCAATGATTCTGGCCACGTCCCTTGTGTCCTCATAGTCACAATCTTCTGAGCACCTTTGCTGGATGCAGCCACTTCTGGGCCCTCAGTCTAGGGCTCCTAACTCTGCTCCCTGCACATCCCAGGCTGCCACCCCGTTCCTCCCCTGCTTGTGTCAGAAGCTGCCCCTCCTCCCAATACAAACACTCAGTAGGATGGCACTCCATGGAGAGAAAGGTGGGAAAGGCGATCTGACTTCCTTAGGTTAAATTTACTACGGGTGTATCCAAGCGGCGTGCCTCGTGTCTCAGGTCCGAGCGCACTTGGTGGAAGGGCACTTGTGGTGTTTACTTTTTATTTTTTTTGACTTTCCCTCCACACCTGCAGACTCACACACCCACATAAAATTCAGTTAGATTAAGGTTTGGAGACACATCTTTGTAACACAATGCTAGGCTTTTCTGCCAGCTCAAGGTTGTCTCAAATTCCCTTTCTTAAGAATCCTTTCCCATAAAACTCTGTAGGCCTTCACGGAATGGATTTTTCTGGAAGGCCACACCCTGTGGGTTTATCAGACAAGCTCAGACAGTTCTCTCCCAGCACGAAACACACTGACAACACCTGCCCTGTCGCCCCATCCATCTCGACTTGCTGAATATCTAAGGATATACCTTGTTTTCCCTTAGTTTCCACTGAACTTTATTCAGATCATCTGGGACAGTCAATGACTCATTTAGCACAATGGAGAGCCTACTTTTATAATTAACCAAACTTATTTAACAGTTTTATGTATTCAGGTTTCATATAGGTGTCATGTGTGCTCAGAGTCCACCTTAAGGAACAGAGTGTAGCTGTGTGTGCATATCTGTCATGTCCTGACGGGTCATATTGGCCAGAATTAGAGGGAACAGCAGATCGTGTTCTGGCAAAGATTTGGTTCCGGGCCACTCCCCGCACGGTGGCAGGAAAAAAACAAACAAGTCATTAAGTACAAATAGGTTGTGAATTTTAAGTCATGATGATTAATCCACAGATTTTACATTTAAAAAGCAAAAAAATGCCTCATGTCAAAAAATAAACTTCAGCTAAAACCTCTGATGGGCTTTTCAAAAGACTTTTGAAAAGAAAAATTAACTCCATCTTAAAAGCCAGCACAGCTAATGGCATTTGTACAGGATTTACCATGTGCCAGGCACTCTTAAGCGTATTACAAACATAAGCTCATTGAATCCAGAGGACAGCCCTATGATGTGGGCACTTTTAGGTACTGTTTCCTAGTTCACATCTACACAGGACTTTCCTGCTTTTTTGCAAATACGCACTCCTGTTTAGAGAAATGGGCCATGGTGTTTATTTTGCATTAGAATGTGTGTATAATTTCAAACTATGTGGACAAGTCATCATAATTTTTCCCAACAACAATCAGCAAATGAATGCAATATTCCTCTAATAATAGTTCTCGTTAAGTCTGTTAGCAGGTTTAAAAGATTTTTAAAATAATTTAATAATAAATTTAAAAATAAAAATTTAAAAATTTAAATAAAAGAATAAAAAATAACTGCCTTAGAGAAGAGCAAATATAAGGATAACCTATCATTTTGTCAGGTTAATTGGTCTAATGAAGACAGTGGCCGTAAATTAAATAAGCAGTTGGGAAGACATGAATGTTAACCTCTCAGAAACTGTTCATGTGCACTGACCAGCCATCCCATATATGCACACATCAGCCACACGTATCTTTCACTGCAGGTGGTTAATGGCTTGCGTATGGCTTAGGTTTCCTGGTTTGCTAACTAACTATCCTGCCCACATAAACATACCCCTGATTGTCAAACCACCCATCCTGGTAATCATGGCAGAAGCTGCTGTCACTAGATGATAGGCCAAGTGCTCATAAGCACTGTTGGGTGTCATTATAATTGAGGCAAATTAGGCTTTTTTACCCCAGCAATCAATAGTTTTATCTAATTTTTTTAAAAGTGATATTTATGGTTTTTCTAACCATGTAAACATTTAGAGTATGTCATTCTTTCCCTTTACATTCTACAGTTGATCTCAAGATCTTCTCCACATTAGGGTTATAAAAGCATTCACTTATATTAATTTTATCTTAACAGTTTTAAAAATTGAAGTACAGTCAGTGACAAAGTGTCAATTTCTGGTGCACAGCACAATGTCCCAGTCATGTACATATATACATATATTCATTTTCATATTCTTTTTCATTAAAGGTTATCACAAGATATTGAATATAGTTCCCTGTGCTATACAGAAGAAACCTGTTTTTTCTTAAATCTATGTTTATACATAGTGGCTAACATTAATTTTACCTTAACATTTTTAATCTATCTGGAAGTTATCTTGGTATATGACATTAAGAACTGATTTAGCTAGTCCAATTATTTTTTCACTAATTAATCCATATTTCCTGCTTTTGGGAAATATTTAGTATTTTTAGTAGGGGTAGATACACCAAGACATTGTACTTTTCAGGTGACACTGAAGTCCAGGACCACTGGTAGCATAAGAACCATGTGCTGTTTTCCCCATAGCAGTGCTGCATTTCTGAACTGTCCGTCCTGGCCTTGTCAGTGTTGTCACCAATGTCACCTTTCTCTGCGATCTGGAAAAGTTTTCTTCTTTGACCAAAAGCATGATGTGGGCCTTGGGAATATCAGGTTCCACCTGAAAACTAAATCGACAAGTTATTGGCACCAGTGAACAAATGAAGAGAGCAGAAAACCTTTCTTCTGAAGCAGCCAAACAAGTAACCGGCTCCACATGAGGTGAGAAGCCTTCCAGGAGAGGGCGCCAGGGTGAGGATCAGAATGATGGGAGACGTCTTTGTGTCACATCACTGAACATACCCCATCAACGGTCATGGCCACAAGCTGGGCGGATCTCAGCTTGCTGCACAGTCTGTGTGAAGTTCAGGAAATAACAAACGTGGAAGGAGATCACACAAACCCCCACCTGATGTGATGGAGCGGCAGCCCTTATGGTGAGGAGATTCTCTTTTATATCTAGTTGACGTGTGCTCATTGAGTTTAGTTGGGTCTCCTCTGAAAACCGGTGCCTGCGGCTTGCGCTTCTCTGCGCTGTGGGCTTCAGGATAGCAGACGTTGTCCTCCAAGCCTCTCTTCTTTCACAAGAGAAGCCTCTTTTTATTTGGATAAAGTGACCTCATGATCTGAGCCGATTATAAAATTTAACATGAGAGGGACCAGCAGGATGCGGCATCAGATTTTCCAGAGGTCCTGACAAAATCTTTTCTTCCTTTTTGAATCAGAGGATGTTTAAAAACATAGAATGTGCCATATTTTTTCTTGTCTCTGTTTAAAATAGAACCTTGTTGATTGAATTCTATTCTAAATTCCATTTGAGAAGAATGTGTATTTGTCTCCTCTTGGTATTCATTTATGCAGCTATTAATTCAATTCATGTTTATTGAACAGATATTATGTGACAGGACTAAAACTAAAACTAATAGTCCGAAAACTATTAGGACTTAAACTAGTATTTGAGTTTCTGCCAGGTACCGTGCTAGGTGATTTGAGAATACTTCCTCATTTACTCTGCGAGAGAGTTTTGTGAGAGAGGTATTACCATACCCACGCGTGTGCAGAAACCAAGGGACAGAGAGATGAAGTGCCTTACTCAAGGACACGCAGCAGTTGTGTGTTGAACCTGGGATTTAAAGGCAATATCTCAGAGTTCATGGTCCATTTGTTCTTCCTGCTCTAGCAGGAAGTGATTCTTCTTTTCGAAAGTACCTTCTTATTTCTCTCTGATTTAATTGCCTCACTGTGGGAGAACATGGCCTGTGTGGTATCTATTCATTGGATTTGTTGAGGCCTCCTCTGTGACCGAGCACAGTCTATTTCTATAAATATTCCATGTTTACTTGACGAGATTGTACATTCTCTGCTAGTGCGAGGCCACAAAAATCCATTAGATTAAGCTTGTTAACTTGGCTGTTTAAAGCTTCTGCCTCTTTATTAACCTTTCGTCAGCTTGGTCTATCAGATTCTGTTAGAAGATGTTAAAGTCACTCACCATGACCGTGTATTTGTCAAATTCTTTTTGCCATTCTCTTAGTTTTGCTCTCTCTCTCTCTCTCTCTATGTATATGTGTTTGACTCTGTCGGCAGTTGTATAGAAACTCATGATTTTTATATTTTCCTGATAGATTGTTCTAATCACTATTATATGGGGTTCTAAATTGTCTCTCTTAAAGCTTTTCCCCTGAGATTCTATTTATCTAATCCAAATATTGGTATACCAGCTTTGTTTTTGCTAGATATTTGCTTGGTTATCTATCTATCTGTCTATCTATCTATCTATAAATCAATCCATCTCTAAAGATGATGTAAAATGAGGTGATAGAATGAAAAAATATTAAATTTATATTATAAAAATCTATTTATGTATTACATTTATATTATTATATAGATCTTTTCTGTCTATCACCTCATGTTATGCCTTCCTGTGAATTTTATTTTAGGTATGCTTTTTGTAACCAGCACAGGTTTTTTTCATAGAATGATAACTGTAATCTCCCCATCTTTACATTGGTATATTTGCTATTTTGTTGTATGTAATGGCAAAGCAACATACATCTGAAAGGAGTGCTTGATATAGTAACACTACTTACATATGGTACCTACAGTAACTATGGATGCCTACACACTATATTTACAGTAATTATAGTAAGTATAGCAGAATTGATGTTCAGTGATGACAACCATTATTCTCCTTTGGATAGTGTTCGGCCAACCCCAGTTTTTGCTGCCAGCATCCCTTCTAGATTTTCCTGGTAACCCCAGATGTCTTATTTTTAATGCGTTCACACGAATTCTGTCTTTTAATAACAAGTTGCATTGTGAGCACTGCTGAGCTGGAGTTACCGTTTGCCACCTTATTTTGTGACCTTTCACGTCCTTTTTTTTTTTTTTGGAGTATGATTCTACTTTTTTATTTAAAATATAGATATGTGTGGTACCTTTCACGTCCTTTTAATTTGTGACCTTTCACGTCCTTTCACTTTGTTCCTTCCCTGTGTCTGATGGACTGATATACTTTCCTACATTCCTTTTTGGCTCCTCTGCTGGTTTGGGAGCAAAAGATTGCACTCCCTTCCTTTTAGTGGTTACCCTTAATATTTTAACATACATAGTTAGCAATTTAGCTTTCTAACATTATGGCAAATTTTGTCCACCCCAAACCCTCAAGAGACTCACCTGCATTTTGCTATGGTGTGTGTTTTTCTCAAATTGCAATTCATCTGCTGTTCTGGGACAAATGCAATTTCTGGTCATTTGAGCTTGCCTTAGTTTACCTCTTTATTTAGGTTGACGAGATTAAAGACTGAACCCGCACAACAGAATGTAAGCCATATTCTGGCCCAGCTTTATCAATACGAGCTAACTTTTAAAAATTATGGTCTTTGAGAAGCCAGAGTTCGCGTTATCTTGAACTTCCAGTGACTGCTGTGTTCTTTCTGCTCTTCTCCAAGACACTTATTTTGCATTTTGTCTGGAAAAGATTCTGAAGTGAAGGCATAGTCCCTCTGATTTTCTTGAAATACTTTGGTTCCTTTGTATTCTGTTCCGGATGTTCACATATTAGTTCCTGTGTTCAAGCTCTTACTTCCTTTTTTAAATTAGTTGAAGAGCTCATCTAATGATTTCAGTATGCCCGATGTTTTGACTGAGTTGCCTGAACATTTCCAAGAGTCTCATATCTTGATATATCCTTGCTATCTCTTTATATCCTTTTGCACAGGAACTCTCCATTCTGATCCTAACACCACTGTGTGACATTTCTACCCCTTGCCAGAGGTGACAGAGTCTCTATGTGCTGGAACAACTCAGTGATGATTGGCCCATCTTGTAATTTTGTCTAGAGTTTCAGTTTTGCCTTTTGCACCATCTCCATCCCCACATCCAGCTGCATGTCCACCCCTAGTTCATCTGTCTCTCCGTGAACCTTTCAATTTCTCTCTCCCCATCTTGCCTACTCCTTTGCCCCGGCTCCTCTGTTCATCAGTTTGTGCTTCTCTTCTGCCTCTTGTCCGCAGGCATGTTTGTCTTTTGTTGGAGTCTGGCTGTGACTTCTTTGTTTTACTTCAAAAAACAAATCTATCACTGTTAGTTATTCAGGTAGCAGGGGTGTGTCAGAACTTGATGTTAAAGAGCTGTCTTGGCTGGAATTGTCTTGCATAATTTTTAAAGTATCCTAAATAATCCTTGGTCTTAGGAGGAGCCCTCTTTTTGAAAAGTGCAAGTCTTGTGGTTGCCGTTTGTTTTTCTTATATGTGAATGACTCCCGATTCGCCAGTCCTTTGTTTTTACCTATAACTGAGGTTCTATTCACTGTCAGTGTGGTCCTTAGCACACACTATATCTTTGTTGAAGGTGCCCAGCTGGCTGCAGCCCCGCAGCCTGCAGGTAGAGGGCAGACTGCATCTCAGCCCCTGCTCACCCCTGCCCAGGTGCCTTTGTGCATCACAGAAACGGGATTCACCATCCAGTGGCTCTGTTCACAGAAAACTTGCTAAGTGAATGACTAAGGGTTGCTAATAGTTGGCGCTTATAAAGTACAATTAGCACGTTGGTTTACTGATGGCATTCTCAGAATTCTTACCAAGAAGCTGGGTTGCTAGGCATTCGTGCAGAGGTTTTCGTGTTGTGCATGCACTGATAGTCAGAATTCCCCTGGCACTTGGACTCTGATCACAGAAGTTTGATGTTTCTTGCAGTAGATTATACTCGGTGTTTTGGGCAGGACTCTAGAGGGAACCCAGATCTTTCATCATAAATTTTATCCCATTATTTTATACCCTAAATGTGAATCCAGGTGGAAGCGGCAGAAACCTCAATACTGTAATGGAAGCTAATAATAACATCAGTCAAGAGAATTGCAGGTCACTAATATGTGTTAACAGAGGTGTGCTGGTAAGTGTTTAACGACTGGCTTTCTGAAAAGAAAAGGGTGATATGTAGTGTCTGCAAATTTCTGTAGTGTCAATACTTCCACTCTAGCAGATTAGAAGCTGTCACTGCATTGATATCAGTGAATATGAAGTTAGGAAGAGAGACATTTAAAATTGCCTCCAGCACACCACCAGGTCACAGGTAAAATAGGACGTTGATATTTGTGTTCCAACTATTAGTGACAATTTTGAAACTGGATTTTCTTTCTTTCTTTTTTTTTTGAAACTGGATTTTCAAAGTTCAAAGAATCATCAGTCCAAAGGAGTCTTCAGCAGGCAAACAGTCACCACGTGGGAGTCTTGTGCTGTGCACCGTGCAGTCCCAGATGGCCAAGAGCTGTGGCCGACAGCAGATCTGAGGGGCAGGTGACAAAGCCTATGTGTACGTTCTTTTATCTGTAGCCTGTAAAGATGAGTGGCTCCTACTCTAGGGATATTAGTTTGAAGAGG